ACCTCCTCTGACATTTAAAAATACCTACACTTGAACTTTTGGAGGAGATGGTATTGTTGAAATAGCAATAATTATTGTGGTGGATATGAAATATGCTTGTTTATCTGTATCTATTCCTTGATTGTATGGTAGTTTTATGACTACATATATTTGTCAACATTGCCCAACATTGGCTTGTCAATATCTTTGATGTACTTTTTTGCCCAGAAATGAGTTCTGTATAGTACTCAAGATACAGTCAGACCAGCACAGCCTAGAGTTGGATCTTTTCTTTCCAAGTTTGGACTCCATGCTTTTGTTAAGACAGCTTAGGCATTAGCTTTTTGAACACCAAGTGACATTATCGATTCATATAGTATTTATAGACAACTAAGACATATAGGTTTTCAACCTAAGTTCAGAACTTCAAATGTATCCCTATTAAATTTAATCTTGTTAATTTGGCCCCAAGAACTTTCTAGATTGTTCTGGATCCTGATTCTCTTATTTGATACACTGGCACTCTCTCTTAGTTTGTGACATCTGCAATTTGGAAAGCGTATTTTTACTTTGCTCATAATACATTGTAGAGTATAAAGAATAAGTTACAAACACTTTTACAGTGTGATCTTGTTTTTATTTAAAATACCTATTATTAGTATTCAAATGATTATGGAAGGATATTCACCAACATGTTAACAGTCCTTATCTCTGAATGATTGAATGATTTATAAGTTTAATGGGTTTTCTCATATATACTTTTCTGATTTTTTAAGTGAATGTATGATTGCATGACAAAATTCCAATTTATACAAAATTTATTATTTAAAAACATCTCATTGAACTATACATAAAATGGATGAAGTTCAATGTATGTAAATTATACCTCAATAGAGAAGGGCTTTTTTTTAATTTACAAGAAAAAAAAGTATCTCTATTTCATTTCTTTCTTTGTGTAACCAGAATGGTCTTTTTTTTTGTACCGTCTCTCAACCCAGGGCATGAGATGTTCATTTACCCTAAAATGAGGTCATTTATCTTTCTTGCCATTGTTTGTCTTTCCTTCTCATTCTTTTTCCTAATATGCACTGTGAGTGGCCAAGAACACCTTTGATCCCTCTTCTCAAAAACTTATCTCTTACCTATTTTTCTATCAGAGTGGCTGACAGACAAACAATAAAGGGTCTTACGCAACCTTATGAGCAAAGAGGCTAACCCCTGGAGAGTGACAAGCTGAAGTCTTTAGAGTGCCTGGGGTTCTCTAACATTAGAGATTTTTTAAAGTATACATGCCTGGGTCTCACATCTGGAAATTCTGATTCAGTCAATCTGAGTGGGACTCTGAGCATCTCAGTTTTTTTAAGCTCCAAAGGTAATTCTCATATTTATCACTGGTTAAGAACCACTGAATTAAGGAACTCCCAAAGTCAAAGATGGTTTTATGATAGTGCTAACAATGGCTTCCCTTTGGCCCAGTCAATCCAGGGTTAGAAGAGGTGAGAACACACAAGTCCCATCAATCCAGCAGAGGCTATCTAACTGCCACAGGGATACCAGTGGGTCCCATTTAGAAACAGGGCACTCAACAGTACAAGTGGCCCTCCTTGTATATACTCATTTATACTTGCTCAGAAGCTAAAGGGTCTGGCAAGTAGGTGCTTTCGCTTAGATTCACTCTTCCGGAAGGTCTATTGCGCTCTACCCAATTGAGAGAGGTCTATGAAATAAGGAAAACATGACTGGATTGTCCCTGGCTTATCCTCTCACCTCTCAGCACCCTAAAACCTAACTTTGTCTCCTGGCATGACAAGAGGCCTTGATTTCCAGATGAACACTCTCCTGTCATCCCCTCAAGAAGTAGAACACATTTCCTCCCACACAGCTCCTATTTACCACTTCATAGATGGTGAAGTCAGTTATTCCTCTTGTGAAGAAAAATGCTGTTACTAATTTTTTAAAAATAGAAAAGAGAGGATTTGTGATTACAGACAGGCATTCTTAACATGAATGCATTGCAACAATTTAGAAGATCATTCAAAAGATGTTTTGTGAGTACATAGAATAAAATGCTGCAATCACAAGGTCTCAGCCTAGGATCACTAGGAACAAGTCATGCCACAGACCTCATTTGTATTTTTGCTGGGATTACCTGGATGCCATTGGCTGCTATACCTCTACTGTGGCAATGAGTAGATTGTGGCTTATTGTCATGAGCATAACTTCTCTTGTCCTGACCCATACTCATCAAAGGAACTTCTGATTATAATGGGTTTTCTGCATATCTGCCTCCAGGAAGAGGATGTACTGGCTAGAAGATGTGAGTGTCAAGTCTTTCCTGCAATTCTAGTCCTGTTATAAATTAAAATTGGCTCTCTGTCTTATAATTCGTCTCTTGTGAATTTAGAATACTGTAGAGATAAAGAGAACAGACTTTGGAATCAGGACTGGATTCAAATCTCATTTACTTTGTGATTTGGGGCTAGTCTCTTAATCTCTCAATCTCAGTTTCCCTACCTGCAAAAATGGAGATGGTAACTACTACGTCAAAGGTGTGTGGTGTTAAATGAGATGAAATACAGGAAGAGCTTAGCACAGCACCATGGATCTGGAGTGTTCGGTTCATTCATTATTCCACTTGAATAGCTGTTATCACTTTTATGTAGTGAATTCATCCCTGAGAAACTAACCCACAATAAGGATACTAATTAAATCAAGTTCCTAAACCCACACTGAGGACTGGACCCTAGGTGAAGGTAAACATTCTGCAAACCATCAGGTAAGGTCTCTTGACCAGCCAGTCAGCCATGCGTGGTGACTTCAACCTAGCCATGCTCTTTTCTTTCCAATTTCTACATTATATTGTATTTTGATTTTTACCAAAGCATGTAACAAAGTCTCTAATGATATTGTGGTAGATAAGATGGAGCCACATGGCTATAAGAGCCAGTGGTATTATTGAGTGGGCTTGCAGCTACTTCTACTAACACATAGTGCGGTTACTGAATTGAAAGGATCTTTAAAGGCAAAAAGCTCTATTCATTCAACAGATATTTATTGAGGTTCTATTTGGTGCCACACACAATGGATATAATAGTCTGCCCTCAGCTTACAGATTAGCAGGAAGAAAGATAAACAAATAATCAAGCTAATCACAAAGGTTCCTTGAGAAAGGGATGCCTTGCCTGAGACTGAAGGATGATTAAGAGTTAACTAAGAGATATTCAATTGTAAGAAGACAAATGACCCAATTGAAAAACAGGCAAAGGATATGAATAGATGTATATTCAAAGAAGATATACAAGTGGCCAATAAGCACATGAAAAGATGCTCAGTATCATTAGCCATCAAGGAAATACACATAGAAACCACAATGAAATACCACTTCACACTCACAAGGATGGTTATAATCAAAAAGATGAACAATAACAAGTGTTACTGAGCATGTGGCGAAACTGGAACCTTCATATACTGCTGATGGGAATGTAAAATGCTACAGTTGCTTTTGGAAAACAGTCTGGTAGTTTCTCAAATGGTTAAACATAGAGTTATCATATGACCCAGTAATTTCACTCATAAAGTATATACTCATGAGTATTGAAAGCATATGTCTACATAAAAACTTATACATGAATGTTCATGGCAGCATTATTCAAACAATGAAAACAACCTAAATAGCCATTAACTGATGAATGGGTAAATAAAATGTAGTATATCCACACAATGGAATATTATCCAGTCATAAAAAGGAATGAAGTACTGATACATGTTAAAACATAAATAAACCATGAAAACATTATGCTAGGTGAAATAAGACCATCACCAAGTACATACTTCATGATTCCATGTCTATGAAATGTCCAGGAAAATCTATACAGACAGGAAGTAGAGATCCAATGTTGTAGCTCACACCTGTAATCTCAGCACTTTGGGAGGCTGAGGCAGAAGGATCACTTGAGCCCAGGAGTTTTGAGGCTACAGTGAGTTATGATTATGCCACTGCACTCTAGCCTAGGCAACAGAGTGAGATTCTACCTCTCAAAAAAATAAGAAAGAAAAAAGAAAGTAGATTAGGGTTTGGGTTTTAGAGGGTGGGAGGAGGGGATAATTGAGAGTGTCTGTTAATGAGTATGGGGTTTCCTTAGGGGGTAATGAAAATATTCTAAAATTGAATTGCACACTGTAAGTGGGTGAATTGTATGGTATGTGATCATCTCAATAAAGCTGTTACATAATAATAATAATTAACTAGGAGAAAAGGAGGAGGAGGGGTTGGGTTCCCAGACAGAGAAAAGAGTATGCAGTGGAGCTTCATGAAGGAAAAGGCAGTATGACTGGAGGACTGTGAGCCAGGGGAGAGCAGTGTGAGCTAAAGCTGAGGAAGTAGGCAAAGGCCAGGTCCTGCACGGACATGTGGGTCTTTAGCCTGAGAGCAATGGGAAGCCATTAAAGCCAGCAGAATCAAGGAGAGCTATGGTGGATATTTTGCGTGAGTTGAGAATTTTTAAACCTGCCTAGTGTTTTTCATTTCGTATCCTACAAAACAGTCCTTCAAATAGCCAAAGGATAACGATAAGGATGCAGAACTAGCCTGTGTTGCTCAAAGGACTAGGACCAATGAGTGAGAGGGCATTTTGAGCTCATTTTAAGGAAAATTTCATAATAAGCAGTGCTTTCCAATAACAGGACAGGAAAGGCAGCTCCCCAACACCACCTGTATTCCTGCAAAGGTGTGATACCTACATGGGATCTGCAGAATCCTCCAGCACTACGTGGGAGATCAGGCAAGATGACTTCTAAAACTGAAAACCATTCAACCACCTTGATTCTATGAAGACCAACAGAATCCCCTTCACTTTTCCAAAACTGTCCATGAAGGAGCCCTTTCTTACTATTGCCAAATAAAGCTCTTGACCAACTGCTAGATTTAACCATTAGGCACAAAGTCATGGCCCTAGATAAAGAGTCCAAAATTCTTACTAAAATAATGATCAGTTTTCCTACTTAAACATTTTATACTACTAATGTAAATGTCAAAATGCATAAATCCAGAAACCCTAGCATGGCTCTCCCCCAAACTACCCACTTGGGGCCAAAGAGAATGGCTTCTGCAAAGGGCTTCACACCCTAATGAGTACTCAACTGGTGACACGAACCTGGCAAACAGGGCCCAGATATGACTGCTCCTCTCTACCCACCATCTCTCCAGCACCCAGAGAAGACACACAAGGAGCCAAGAGCATTTTCCAGACCTCTCCATTCAACTGGAGAATAGCTGAAACAAGAGACAAACTTCAAATGAAAAAATGTTAAGACTGAAACAAGGGGAATGTCTAGAGACTCAGGACTACCAGATCTGTCCTCCACCATCCCTTTCTCAGTTAGGCATACATCTGACTCATAAGGCTAAGTCAAAAATATACATTAAAAAGGAGCCACCCTGAAAGAAGTATGGTGGTTCCTCAAAAAATTTAAAATAAAATTACCATATGATCCAACAATAGCACTTCTTGGTATATACCCAAAAGAATTGGAAGGAGGATCTCAAAGAGTTATTTGTAAACTCATGTTCATAGCAGCCTTACTCACAATAGCCAAAAGGTGGAAGCAACCTGTGTCCATAGATGAGTGAACAGGTAAGCAAAATGTGTTATGTCCATTCTATGGAATGTTATTTAGCCTTAAAAAAAAAAGGATATTCTGACGCATGCTATGACATGGATGAACCTTGAAAACTTTATGCTCAGTAAAACAAGCCAGTCACAGTGTTAGGTTTGTTTCCAGGTGGGAACCTGAAAAATATGTATAGGACAGAATGTGGTTAATGCAAAAGTTAGGCTTGTAAAACAATAGCCGCAGGAGTCTGGAGAGTGCCTGGACTTTGTAAATCTAACATACAGCTGCAGCCAGCATTCCTTTTCCTCCTGTTAGAGACAAAGTTTATCCCTCCCTAGCTCTCCTGAAGGATGGATGTGACTGGGGTCCTAAGAGCTGGTTGTTTGAAAAAGAATTAATTACAAACGGCTGTTCTGACCCACTTGTTTACTCCCCCAGGAAAAACCCTCTATAAAACCCAAGGCTCTCCCCTTTCCTCTCGTGGACACTTTTTTGCCTCCACCCATCTGCACCCAGATACTCAAAATAAAACAGCATTTTGCTACACGAGGCTTCCTGTGTCTCTCTCGGCTCTGGAACTAACGCACAGAAAGACAAATACTGCACGATTTCACTTACAGGGTACCTAGAGTGAAATCCATGGAGAAAGATAGTGCAATGGGGGCTTCCAGGGGGCTGGGGATAGCGGGAAATTGGGAGTTAGTGTTTGATCGGGACAGAGCTTCAGTCTGGATGTAAAAAAGTTCTGGAGACGGATGATGGTAACGGTTGCATAACAATGTGAATGCACTTAATGCCACTTTTAAAAATTTAACAAAAATGGGCAAAATCGTAAATTTGATGCTATGTATATTTTACCACAATTAAAAAGAAGCCACCCTGCAGTACTAAGAACCAAGAGCCTTTAGCTTCCTGAGACCCAGTAAGGAGTAAAGATATATATGCTCATGACGAAGCGCCTAACTCACAAGATTCTTGTGTTTTCGTTTTTGTTTTTGTTTTCATAGCTCCTGTGAACCTGAGAGTCTTAAGAGGAGGGAATCCGTAGGCGGTCCCCGTCACTCCGCTGAGGGGCTGCCCAGCGCCAACCCGAGGGGGCTTGGGCTTTACCCGCACCTCCCCGCCGGGCGGAACGCTCCTCGGAGCTCAAGGAGTGGACTCCGGAGCGGACTCGGGGTCGGGCTCTGGGGCGAGCTCTTCCGCGCACCAGCACAGCCACCTTCAAAGCTGGAGTGCGTTGCACGTTCTTCCAATCAAAGAGAACCGGAGGAAGGCACCGTGGGGCCAGAGCCAACCGCAAAGTGCCTGTTTCTTGTTGCCCCGCCCTCCCCTGCTTTCAACTAGCGAGTTTCAAACCCGCGGGAGCCAATGAGAGTGCACGGACGCAAGGCGCGCCGGCCCCGGCTCCAGGCGCGGCCTTTGAAGAAAAACTGTCACTGAGGAGGCATGGTGGGGCCCAAGCCCGCCGCCGCTGCTGCCGCGGGTGAGTAAGACTGCGAGCGAGCCCCTGTTTCTTGAAGGCGTTGGAACACGGGAGGGGAAGTAGGAAGGCCACAGAGTGAGTTCTTCCCCGGAAAGTTGCCCGTCCGCTCGTCTGCCTGCCTCAACCTCCCCCTGGCGTTTCCAGGAGCTCAGGCTCCGGCCCCCGGGGACACGGCTGGGCTGGGGGTAGGAGAGGCTGTGCGCGGGGCCACGCCTCACGGGCATCTTCCCGGTAAGCCCTGCAGCAGCAGGTAAACTGAGGCCCCTTCCCCGGGGTTACACTACCGGAGGGAAGCAGCGTGCTCGTTAGACCCACGTTTGGCCCCAGGCGGAGCCGGGTGTGGTCTTTTGTGGTGTCTGGCCCAAGCTTTGACTGCTGCCAAGGGGCGGGGTCCGACGCAAGGCTTTTCCCTCCACACCTCTGGAGCCTGCTCTGGATAGAAGTGAATTGACTAAATCTGCCCCCAAGAGCTAAGGATCCTGCGTTCCCTGACGTCTTAGATGTGCCTGGAGCCCTTTCCTGCCCTTCAGAGTACTCCTGCTCAGATGCCAGCTTCTCCAAGGTGCGCAGGATGTGTTTTGTTTCATCCATTGTGCCCGTTGATGCCTACTAGGTCCTGGTAGGATTTACATAACAACGCTTAAAGATGGGCATTTTTGTCCCTCTTTTACAGGGTCGGCAGCAGCAAAGTTTGCTATCTTGCCAGAAGTCACAGAGCTAGAACTCCAGTCCTCTGTGTCACACTCCTCAGTCCCTTCTCTCTACACTGCTTGGCATGGTCCTAAGATGTATTTCTCCACAGCTGTCTCATAAAGATGCATCAGAGTCAGAGCGCAGAACACAGTGCAACTTGGTTCAGATAGGGTTAAGAGTAGTTTGGCAGACCTGCAGTCTTTTTTTAAAAAATCATTATTTAATTTTAGGTTTTTCCAACCACCTGCTCTCCTCACTCATTCCACACCTATGAACTCCCTTAATTCTTTCACTGACCCTCTCTTATGATACCTAGATTTTGCATTTTATTGTAATTTTTGTTGTGTGTATTGTATCTCCCCTACTAGATTGAAACTTCCTATAGGCAGAAATATTGACTTTTCATCCTCTCACAAATGCCTTGCATAGAAAGTCACAATGTTATAGATATTTGCCATGAGCCTCCGTAACCTGACATATTTTATCCTTTGTCCCAAAGGAGGCCGTGTAAGGGTTTATGGGTAAATATCATCTCTCAAAAAAAAAAAAAAAATACATAAGACCAGGCTGGGTACAGTGGCTCACCCCTATAATCCCAGCACTTTGGGAGGCCGAGGCAGGAGCATCACTTGAGGTCAGGAGTTCAAGAACAGCCTGGGCAACATAGCAAGATCCTGTCTCTACAAAAGAAAAAATTAGCTTGGTGTGATGGTGAGCCCCTGTAGTCCTAGCTACTGGAGAGGCTGAGGTGGGAGGATAGCTTGAGCCCAGGAGTTTGAGGCTGCAGTAAGCTATGCTTGTACCACTGCACTCTAGCCCGGGCAACAGAGGTAGACCCTGTTTCTGAAAAAAAAAACAAGACTAGGCCTGGCCCACCAACTCAGGTAGGCCAATAACAGAATTTCTTCATGCAAAGCGTAGAATGTTGGAGCTGAATAGTAGCTATGAATAAGTGCTCTGAGGTTAGATAAATCTGTTTTCAAGTCGTGGCTTTGTCATGTATTAGCTGGGTAACTTTGGACATGTCATTTACCTTCTCTAAATTTCAGACTGCAAATTTCAGACACTCCTCATTGGATTATTGTATGGATTAAAAGAAGTAACGTAAAAAGCTTAGTAAAGGGCCTTGCACGTAAACGATATTGTTAATGTCGCTATTAACTTCAATTCAAACTTACAGGACTAGGGACTTTTTAACTTTGTGGTGCAAAGCCAAAATCATTATACAAAAGTGTCATCTTTTAGAATATTAATGAACTGGTTACAATCTCAAGCTAAAATTCTGTTTGTTTGCTTGCCTATTTTGCAGAAGAGCGGCAGAGAAAGCTTCAGGAGTACCTAGCAGCCAAGGGAAAACTGAAGAGCCAAAACACCAAGTGAGTTTGTCTATCCACAGTTATGCAAGTTTTGTTGCCCTCTTTGTAACAGCAATTTAAAGCCTTTTTGAAACATAGCCATTTTGCTTACAGTCTACTCAGATTCCACTGGGATCCTATGATTCAAAAGAGGATTTCAGTCCAGGCATGACAAAAACCCCTGGGCAGTGCCTAGTCCATTGGCAAAGTTTTAAGCATTGTTGTTATGACAGTCTCCAAAGGAAGAAGGGAAGGTTCTACCCAGAATTACCCACCATGCTGGAAACTTTTCTTGTCCCTGCTTTTGTTCCTGGGAAAGTTGATTCTTATGAAGGCAATTTTTGGTCAAGAAATTGAACGACCCGGGTTCTGGTGTTTCTTACTAAAGCAGGAGAGCCAGTTACAATCAGTCCTCCATAGCTCCAGCCTGACAGTGCTCTTTGGTCATTCTCTCAGCATTTACTATTGAGGTGGACAGAACATGACCACTACACTTTTATCTTTTGTCAACATCATTTGTGATGTCATTTATCTCCCTTGCTTAGCATTGATGTATTTTCTCCCCAGTTGGATTGCTAAATTTTTTTTTTTTTTTTTTTTTTTGAGACAGAGTCTCACTTTGTTGCCGGGGCTAGAGTGAGTGCCGTGGCATCAGCCTAGCTCACAGCAACCTCACACTCCTGGGCTCAAGCGATCCTCCTGCCTCAGCCTCCCGAGTAGCTGGGATTACAGGCATGTGCCACCATGCCCGGCTAATTTTTTCTATATATATTTTTAGTTGTCCAATTAATTTCTTTCTATTTTTAGTAGAGACAGGGTCTCGCTCTTGCTCAGGCTGGTCTCGAACTCCTGAGCTCAAACAATCCGCCCGCCTCGGCCTCCCAGAGTGCTAGGATTACAGGCGCGAGCCACCGCGCCCGGCCTGGATTGCTAAATTTTTATTTGAAAATTAATTTTTACAAAGTTAGCTTTCACTTTTTTTTTACCTTGGATTTTTACTCACCTCTATTTCCTAGATTAAATGAACCTAATTCATTTATTCAACAATTATTTGTTTGATAATATATCCATCACTCTTGATGCTAGAGATATGATGCTTAATAAGAGAGGTCCCTGCCCTCCCAAGGCTTATGTTCTAGATGAGAGAGACAAACATCAAACAAGTCATGATCAAAGTCTCTGTTAGTCTAGCAATTGGTTTGGGGTCATGGAGATTGATTTCTTCTAAATTCTCTGTTCTCCTATTTTTTTTTTTGCATTTCCTAGCTAGATTTCATGTATGTCCCTGGTTTTTTTTAATTATATCATTTCCCTCCAAAAAGCTGACAAAGATGGTATTTGAAGATACTTAAAACAAGGAAGTTTTTTAAAGAAGCTGGTAATGGTTTTATTTGGCAATGTATGGTGTCACATTGCAGTGTTCTAGGAATGATGTTTGAGTGAATAAAACTATACAAATATGAAAGAAATACATATATCTCATTAATATTCTTAGAATGCTATGTTTATGCATTAGAATGGCTCTGAAATGATCACAGAAAAAAATGCATACGAGCAATTGTGGTCTCTTAGAAGGAGAATACAGGACTAAGAAAGGGATGAGAAGACTTTTTTTTGAATTAATTTTGAATTATTTTACCATTACAGAAATTCTAATCATAATTTTTAATCACTGTACTTACCAAGTCTTGCTTGGCATCCTTCTGTACTGATGATTAATTTTATTTTGTCTTTTATAGGCCTTATCTAAAAGCCAAGAATAATTGCCCAAATCTACCACCTTCGAAATCTGTAAGTAGAAATTAGTCTTTTTAGAAATAGCCATTTTGGAAGCATAATTAGTAATAAAAATAATAAAGATGTTAGTGACCTAAAAACATGTATTTCAGAGATATTTTTAATAAATATAAGAGCAGTTTGATTTAATAAGATATAGACTCATTTTTTGAAAAGTACAATATACTGTAGTTTAATTTTGTAAACCAAAAAACCTTAAGTGGACTTTGGTTCTCTTAATAGCTAACATTTATTGAATACTTACTGTGTGCCTGGTACTTTTCTGACTTACATTTACCTTAGTGAGTCCTCACAACCTTATGAGGTAGGTATTATTAGTAGCCCCACTTTACAGATAAGCAAACTAAGTCACAGAAAGGTTAAGTATTTTCCCCAGGTCACATAGCTATTAAGTGACAAAGCTAAGAGCCTGTGGTCTTAACCACTTTGGTATGCTGCCATGAAGTTAATTAGCTCAGGAGTCATTAAAAGAACACTTACATTGGATCTTCCAAGCTATTTAACAAGTATATGCTTCCTAATCAATTCAATTCAGCTAGATTGTATATAGAATGGTAAAGTATCCTAATGTACTTAAGGTTTCAGTGGAAGAAATTAGCCTTCTGAAAGGGGCACAAATTCTTCATCCGTAATAAAGTAACCCATAAAAATCCCACCTTTAGTTTTTAAACCATAGTTTTATCTAAGTTCTAAAGTGCAACTGAAATAGTGCTGCCCAAAGTGAGACATTCTCACTGGTGGGAATTTTAATAAGTTTTAATGATTCATTTCACTGAATCATTTTATCACATTTCAGTCATGTGAATATATGCATATATAGACATATGTATGTTATGTGTATACTTGACATCATTAGACACTGGAGGATAGAAAAACATATATAAGGCAAAATTGATGCACAATGATTAAAACAGTTGGAAAGCACTGGGTTACATTTTCTACTTTATACAGATTGAACCAGTGTAGCATGCAAGCTTAAGGAAAAATCTGCTGGAAAGGGCCCATTCAGAGTTAGTTACTTCAGTAAATCATCTCTTAAAAGAGAGTGATACCTACTTTATCAGCTTTACACAGTTGCAAAGGTAACAATGAAATGGGGAAGGGAATTACAGAATTTAGGAGAAACTAAAAGCATTATGCAAATAATAGTCATCATTACAATTGTATAACGCTTTACAATTTATGTAACACTTTTGTTACATAACAGTAACAGCTAACATTTGATTGGTTATTATCCAGGTACTGGGCATGACACTTTATGTGCATTACCTCAGTACTCAAAACAACCCCGTAAGGAAGTTAGCCCTATGATTTAATGTCCAAACCAGGATACCTTTGAGAGCAAAAGGAGGTGTTGTTACTAATTATGTTGGGCCAACAGGCATAAATCAAAACTATTAATATCTTGTGAAAACCAGGATATATGGCACAATAGATAGTATTCACATGGACATTCTTTTCGGCCTCCACCCATCTGCACCCAGATGCTCAAATAAACAGCATTTTGCTACCAAAAAAAAAAGTGTTAGTATTCCCATTTACAAATGAGAGGACTGAGGATCAGAGAGATTAAGTACTTGTACAAAATTACACAGCCAGTAAAAGTCAGATCCAGGATTCAAACAAAGATTTTCTAAAGTACCTTTATTGCAGTGTTATTAAGCAACACAAAGTTTTTCATTTTCTGTTTCTATCCAGGAGTTTTAACACATTGAGAGAAAATATTTTTAAGTTGTATATCTGATGAGGATCTAGTATCCAGGATATATAAAGAACAGTCACAACTCAACAACTAAAAGACAAATAACCAAACTTAAAAATGAGCAAAGGGTCTGAATAGACATTTCTCCAAAGAAGATATACCAATGGCCAATAAGGACATGAAAACATGTTCGACATCATTAGCTATCAGGGAATCTATTTCGCACCTACTAAGATAGCTATAATCAAAACTCTTATAATAAGTGTTGGAGAGGATATGGAGAAATTAGAACACTCATACCTTGTTGGTGGTAATGCAAAATAGTATAGCCACTTTGCAAAACAGTTTGGCAGTTTTTTCAAAAGTTCAGCATAGAGTTACCATATGACCCAGCAATTCTACTTCTACATAGAGACCCAAGAGAATTGAAAACATATAGTCACACAAAAACTTGTACATAAATGTTTCTAACAATATTATTTATAATACCCAAAAAGTGGAAACAACTCAAATGTCCATCAGTTGATAAGTGGATAACCAAAATGTGGTATCTCCATACAATGGAATATTATTTAGCCATTAAAATATAATGAAGCATGTGGCTACAGGATATATGGGAACTCTCTGTACTTTCTGCTCAATTTTGCTGTGAACCTAAAACTTCTCTAAAAAAATAAAGTTTATTTAAAAAAAATAAAGAAGTACTGATACATGCTAAAATATGCATGAATCTCAAAAACATTATGCTAAGTTAAAGAAGCCAGACACAAAAGGCCACATTTTACATGATTCCATTTATATGACATGTCCCAAATAGGCAAATTCATGGAGATACAGAGACAGAAGGTAGATTAGTGGTTGCCAAGGGCTGCAGGGAGGGTAAAATGGGGAGTGACTGCTAACAAGTACTGGGTGTCTTTCTGGAGTGATAAAAAATGTTCAGGAATTAGATAGTGGTGATTGGTATACAATCTTGTGAATACACTGAAATCTACTGAATTATATACTTATTAAGATGATGAATTTTATGATATGTGGATTATATCTTAACTTCTTTTAATGTACAAGAAAGCAACTAAAATAACATACATTTGGAAACTTTAATACCAACATCCCCAATTTTCAGTAAGCAATGATGGAGAGATCTGAGGTAGATATAAATATTGGGGCTCAAGGAGTAACCCAGATATAGCCGTTGTGAGTATACCATCCATCTCATGGTCTGTACTCCCAGCTCTCCCCCTTTTCATCCCTAAGAACACCACACACACCGATACCATTCCATGGTAGACACCTCCTTGCCCTTAATGCCAAATGGTTCTGGTTAGATTTTCTTTACACACTCGTCAAGTGTACATAGTAATTCTTCACAATGTTGTCCATGCTCTACAATCCACAGTGGCTTGCTCAATTATTTACACATCAATTCTAATCTCCCTTCCCTAGTTTTCAAAGTTCTCTGTAACCTAGCCTTACCTTTCTCACCCAAAAAGAAATCACATGACTCAACTTTGCTTATCGACAACATAGAATCTAACCTTAAAACCCTGTCCCGATCTCACAAATATGACTAACTTTCTACTGAGATGTTAGATGTTTATTGAGAGCTATTCCTACATATCTCAGGACTCTCATTATCTACCACCTATCTATCTCCTTGTCTCCCATCTCTGGGGGCAAGACAGAGTTTATTGAGTGATGCTGTGATGTTTACAAAGGCAGTGATTTAAAAAAAAAAATAGTGTAGCTGTACAAAGTACTAGGAGGAACTTATGGGGAAGTACCCTAGCATAAGTTCATATGTATGTATATTTTCCAGGGTCCCCAAGAGGACACTTCATTGGAACATAATGGGCACTCAGCAAGTACTGTTCAATTGAGGCAAATTTATTTTTTAAACATCAATTTTTGTATATTCACTGCATCTCTGCTTGATTCTGTCAAGCTAAAAGATTTTTATATATTAATATTTCTGATAGAAACTCAAGTTATAAAAATCACCTATTAGTGAACCTTTCTCTACTTTCTCAGGATTCAACTTTCTTAGATGAAATTCTAAAGAAAATGGCTAATTTTTTTCTAGCATGTGTTTAAACATAGTTATTTTTATCATTATTTTACAAAGAGTGAACTATTGTTATGAATTTTTTTCTATATGTTTTTCTTTGTCTTTTCAGACTATTAGACCCCAAAAGGATATTACCAACCATGTTGTTTTGCCTGTCAAAGATAAAAGGTCTGTTAGCATTAAACTCCAGCCCAGACCAGCCAATATTACAGGGTGCCAGAAGCCTAAGTTGGAGCCACCAAAACTTCTAGGCAAAGGGCTGATTTCAAAATATGTTTCTTCTAACTCAAACTGTAAGCCTTCTAGCAAGAGTCATCAGCAGCATGAAGCTAGATCATCCACTGTGGGTGAACTGTCAAGAAAACCCGTGGGGTCACTTAAAATACAGGAAGTGAAAACTACAAAACAACAGGTAATAGATCAAGGAACTGCTAAATGTACAGACTCTGTGGACAGCACTCATGTTGAAAACGAATCTTTGGATAAGTTTCTAAAAGAGATAAATAAAGAGAACTTACCCCAAACCTTATCAAATCCTGAGAGGAAGCCAGATCCTGAATTATGTACCATAAGTAAGCCAAAAACTAACTCTTATAATCTAACCAAGAGCAATTTGGCTCCTAAACAAGTCTTGGGCAAAAGTTCAGTTAATAGTGCTGTTCCGAAAGACAGAATTAATAAACAATTTGTCGGAGAAACGCAAATCAGGATTCTGTCCATAAAATCACACCAACTCTCGAGAGGAACAGATCTTGCAAGACTAGGAAAAAAAAACCCAAGGACAGTTCCCTCTCACTTTAATCAGACCCTTGGTAAGACTCAATCATCAAAGAAACCAGTGGTCAAGGAGATAAAGGTAATTAGGAATAAATACAAAAGACCAAATGAAACTAAGTTACGGTCATACCCTGTTGCTGAACAGAAAGTAAAACATACCAAACCCAGGACAGACCCCAGTTTGCTTCAGGGAGGAAATAACAACAGGCATCCAAACATCAAGCAAGATCACAAATCCACTCAACCTTGCTTTAGACCTCAAACATGTGTTCTGCAAAAATCAAAAGCCATGAGCCGGAAACATGATGTGACAGCTGGCAGTTGTAATTCAGTCATTCCACGCACCCCTAGCATAAGAGCAAATGGAACCAATGGTAATAAACGTGGCAACAGCTTTCAACAGAAAGCACACACTTTGGACTGCAAGTTGAAAAAGACTCTTCCCCAGAACCATTTTCTGAACAAGACAGCTCCCAAAACTCAAGCTGGTGTCACAAACATAAATGGAAGAAGAGTCCCAAATGAGACCCAAACGAATCCAAATATTAAAAAGAAGGCAACAGTAGAGGATCGAAGGTACTTTGCTTTAATTCCAAAATTTTGCACCTTAAGATGGTTAGGCAAATTGACCATTAAGCATACTTGGTCAGGAAATAAGTTATAAATAATGGTTCCTAAGTAATTTTTAGCTATAGCCTGACAAAAAGATTTGAAGCAAATCTAACAAGTATTAAGACTTGATAAAGCTAGGTGGTGCACACATGAATTATAAATCATTCTCTGTAATTTTTCTGTATGCTGAAATAGTTTATTTCTTAAAAAGAAATTGAAACACAGAGAACGGATGAGTTGATTAAGAAATCAGGGTTGCAGGCCAGGCACAGTAGCTCATGCCTATAATTCTAGCACTTAGGGAGGCCGAGGCAGGAAGGTCACTTGAGGCCAAGAGTTCGAGACCAGCCTGGGCAATATAGTGAGACCCTGTCTCTACAAAATAATAGAAAAATTAGCCGGGAACAGGAGCATGCCCCTGTAGTCCCATCTACTCGGGAGGCTAAGGCAAGAGGATCGTTTGAGCACAGGAATTTGAGGTTGCAGTGAGCTATGATGATGCCATTGTACTCTAGCCAGGGGGACAGTGAGACTCTCTCTCAAAACAAACAAAGAAAAAAGAAGTTGCAGACGTAGACTACTCATTCAAGAAAGCCCTGCAGCAATAGGACAGAGTAGTGAGTTCACATAACTAAGAAGTAGGAAGATAGTAGTCCCTTGTCAAGCAGACGAGTGATCTAGTTCAAAAAAGAAGTTATCAGGAAAAAGGAAATGAAGCTTCCATGAGTCTCACCAGGCCAAGTTTTAGAAAATAAGCTAAAGCAGAGAGGAACAGTCAGTTCAAATGCAGAGTTCAGATGATAGAAATCAGGATCTCAGGTTGCTGGGGCGTAATACTAACATACAGGATGCTTGAAACTGAGACAAAGGATTTTGTACACTTTCCACACGGGACCAGACATAGTTCTCATAATGTGGGTGAGTCTCACAGGAGAAGCACATATGTATACCTTGTTAGAGCAGAAAATCAGGACATTCCTGACAAGGGTTAGGGAGCATGTAAAATTAGATAGTTGGCTGAAAACTGTAGCAGGACGAAGTGAGGACAGGTTTTAGTCTCTGGGTACAGCCCTGAACACCACCAACAAGCTCTTTGCCCTCCTGAAGACACAGAAAAACACAACTTAATTCAGGGTGATGGGATCGAGAGGGTAGGGCTGGAATGGCTTCTTTAGATAGTAGGGTCAGGGGAAGTACTTTCAACTGTGATATCTGAGCTGGTGACAAGAAGAGGGACAATCTTGAGCAGAAAGAAAAGGGAGGACAAATGAGGAAGTCAGGGTCCCTGCCCTAGAGCTCATGGTCTAGATCAGACAACAGGATTGGTCATGAGACAGTGTGTTGCATGTTAAACATGTTTGATTACAAACGAGAATGAGTCTGTAGAGGGATAGATTCACTCATTCTGCAAGTGTTCCTTCACCTGCAATGTGCCAGGTGCTGGGGGATACAGTGGTGAGCATACATTCGTAGTCTTTACCCTATGGAGCTTGTTATTTGGTGTATATATGGAAAGTACTAGGGAAACAAAATTACAGCATTGAGGTCCTAGGAGTAAGTTGGCTTTAGAAAAGGAAAGTTCTCTTCATTTATGATTAGAAGGAAGGCTAAGGAGAGAGGAAGAATGCCAGGAACATACAGGGAGCACATGCTAGATGTCTCAACTTCTATCATTAAGTAGGTGGTTACAGTGAAGGTGAGGAGGGAGTAGTTGGGGCTGAAATAAGCACAGTATGGATTGTGCTCTGGACTCAAGGAGAAAAACGAAAAGGTTAATAGTATTTACTCATTCAAAAATTAGTTAATGGCATTCTGGAAAAAGCAAAACCATAAAGACAAAAACCAGATCAGTAATTGACAGTAACTTGGGGTTGGTTGTGGGGTTGATGACCAAGGAGCGTGAGGGAATTTTTGAGGATGTTGGAATTGTCATATATTGATAATAGTTATGGTTACATGATTTCATTCATTTGTCAAAACTCACAGAATTGCACACTAAAAAAGGTGAATTTTACTGTATGTTATTAAATACCTGTGTGTGCTAGGTACTGTGCAAGGCACTGGACCTCCAAGATTTCTGCTCTTATAGAACTTGTATTCTAGTGGAGGAGAAAGAAAACACATCAATTAAATAAAACAGGATAATTACAGATAATTACATCTTCAAGGCGATGTCATTTGAGCAGAGGACTGAAGATGCAAGACAGGAATGAGCTTGGGTCTAGAAACTGAAAGAATGCCAGAGCTCCTGAAGGAGAGAGAGAGAGTGGCATGAGGTTGGAGAGAGGCAGGCAGTAGCCTTTCAGCCATGGAAAACATTTTGAATTTTATTCCAAGGGCCATTGGAAGTCCCTGGCAGTGACACAATCTGGTTTACATTTTAAACATCACTTGCTGTGCACAGAATGAATTTAAGTAAGGGTTAGAGTGGAAGCAAGGAGATATGTTAGGCTGTTGCAGCATTTCAGTAACAGTGATGTGGCTTGGGATGGTGGTAGCATAGATAGAAGCAATACTGACCATACAATGATGCGTCAGATGTAAGGGAAAGGATGGACTACTCACAGACAATTCTTGGATTTGGGCCCTAGCAACTGGGTGGATTGGGGTGCTATTTACCAAAGTAAGGAAAACAAGGAACAGATTTGGAGATGAAAATCAAGAAGTTTGTTTTGGACAATATTAGATTTGAAGTACCTATCAGATATCAAATCAAAGTTATCAACTAGGCGGGAGGGTTTTACAAAGTTTGGGCACCAGGGAGAGATCTGAGCTGGAATGTACATTCGCAAGTCATCAATAATAGTAGCTTTAATTTTAAAAGCTAGAGAGCCTCCATTCAAATGCTTGGATCTACATGTCTTGGTGTCCCCATTCCCCAAAAAGCAGTCTCTTGCCAGCTTAGAAGCAGGATTGGAGAATGTGAACAGTGGGGGAGAGCAAAGATTAGGACTTGGTGCCATCGGAGAACAGCTATTTAAGAAAAGAGCCCTGAAATTATTGATCTAGCTTATGAAAGAAAGGGAGTCATGTGTGGTCAAATGAGGACTAAGGAACCGGCCAGGCACAGTGACTCACGCCTGCAATCCTAGCACTCTGGGAGGCCAAGGCAAGAGGATTGCTTGAGGCCAGGAGTTTGAGGTTGTAGTGAGCTTTGATGACACCACTGCACTCTAGCTGGGACGACAGAGCAAGACTCTGTCTCAAAAAAAAAAAAAAGAGGACTAAGGAACCAAGATCCTATGAGGACAAAATGCAGGATTGGTGGGTCAGGGTTAAGTGACAGAAAGCTTATGATGGGAGAAAAGTGGAGTGCTGAGTTAGTGATCTCAAAGATAGAGGGATGTCTCAGAAAAGCAAGTGTCAGGTAGCATACCATGAAATGAAAACTTTCAAAGAAAAATAATGAATAATCACAAAGTCAAAGAGTTTGAAGACTGAAGTACTGGCCATCTATAATCCTAGTACTCCTGGCTTATGCCTTCTAACAGGTGGGAGCAACCTAGTGCTGTCATTACCCATTTATAAATTGTTTTTTAATTCCATTCTCCTGATTTTGTCTATAGTTGATGTGTATAGTTATGGTCAATCTATACATATCACATACTTTAGAAATTTGACTGTATTTAAGAAAAAAACTAAAACCACCATCCCTCTTCCTTTAATTGAATAACAGGAAACAACTGGAAGAATGGCAGAAATCTAAGGGGAAAATCTATAAACGGCCTCCTATGGAACTTAAGACAAAAAGGAAGGTAATAGAGGAAATGAATATTTCATTCTGGAAGAGCATTGAACAAGAAGAGGAAGAAAAGAAAGCACAACTGGAACTGTCCAGTAAAATTAACAACACTCTGACAGAATGTCTGAAGCTCATTGAAGGGGTGAGTGAGAAAGATAAGCTAGAGCTTTGACTCAGAGTCTTGGAGGTTTTAAACATTTTTCTTAAATATGGGAGATAGCCTTTGTCTAAGCAGAAACTGCTCTGTTAATATTGAATAATAATAGCAATAATGACATACACTTAAACAGTGGCTTTGTATGCCAGGTGCTTTTGTAAGCACTTAACTGATGTCATCTCACATAATTATCATAATGACTATTATTATGCCCACTTTACAAATGAAACTGAGGTATAGAGAAGTTGGAGAACTAACCCAAATAATATGGCTCCAGAGGGATCTAAAAGGAACTTTACCTTCTTCAGGTATCAAGGTCCAAAGAGTAACATTTAACATTTAGGTATGAAACTGAAGTCAAAAGGCAAGTTCATTTATTAAGTTGGAATATCCTAAATGCTCTGAATAGCTGTAAATAGTGTCTAAATTATATCTTAGATTCTGTAGATAAGGATAAAATAAGTGGTAAACAAAGGATATGATCCTTAGGAGATTCTGTGAAGAAAAAATATATTAATAAAAATGATGAGGTAGACTTTTATACTAAAATCCTTGCCTAAAGCAAAACCCATTCTGTCCTTTGGCTGGTAATGGACATCAGCAGAAAAAAGGAAAACTTTCAGTTTAAGTTTGTTCCAGGTATCATTTTCACAGCATTCAGTTAAACATTAATTATTTCTCCTTTGTGGAATTAAACTTCGGTTCTTTTTTTTCTCTTTCATTTTCATCATATTAAAAAAAATGAATATAGTTTATTATTAAAATTATTTCAGACAATACAGATTAATGATGAGCTGTCTCCTCCACACACACATAAATACTTAAACATCCTAAGCTCCTCACTGGAGGTGACCCCTATTGCCAGTCATTCTTCCAGACAGTGTTCATGCATGTCCATACAGTATAGGTGCCTAGAAAAATGAAGTATATAAGGAGTTTTTTGTGAGTTACAATTATTTCACATTTATATATGTGTTCTTTGGTTATCTTTTCATGTGTGTTCTTAGTATCAATGTTATGCTGACTTTGTCAAATGAACTGGGTATTTTCCTTTTTGTCCTATACACTGAAAATAGTTTGTGTAACATGAGAATTTTTTTTTGAAGGTTTAGTAAAATTTACCCATAAAATCATTTGGACTATGCTTCTTTGGAGGATAGTTTCGTGTATATATTTCCAATTTTAATATGGTCATTGGTCCACTTTTTTTGTACTTGTTTTGTATTTCTTGAGTCAACTTCAGTAAATTTTTTACCTTTTTTTAGAATTAGACTTGCCAAAGATTTTTCAGTTTATTAATCTTTTTAAAAGCCTTTTTTGGAGTTTTATCGATTTTCTCTTATATCAGTATTTGTGCCTATTTATATTTATTATTCTTTTTCTAGCTTTTTAATTGAAAGCTTAGATCATTTAAGTCAGTCTTTCTTATTTTCTTATAAATACGTTTAATGCTATAAATTTGCCTCCAAATTTTGCTTTTGTCAGATCCCTCAGATTTTACTAAGTAATGCTTTTTATCAGTCAGGGTTGGCCAGGCGTGGTGGCTCACGCCTGTAATCCTAGCACTCTGGGAGGCTGAGGCGGAAGAATCGCTTGAGCTCAGGAGTTTGAGACCAGCCTGAGCAAGAGTGAGACCCCGTCTCTACTAAAAATAAAAAGAAATTAGCCAGACAACTAAAAATAGAAAAAATTAGCCGGGTATGGTGGCGCATGCCTGTAGTCCCAGCTACTTGGGAGGCTGAGGTGGGAGGATCGCTTCAGCCCAGGAGTTGGAGGTTGCTGGGAACTAGGCTGATACCACGGCACTCTAGCCTGGGCAGCAGAGCAAGATTCTGTCTCAAAAAAAAAAAAATTCGTCAGGGTCAAGTCAGAAAAACAGTAACCATACCGGGTATCTCAATACAAAGAATGTAATTGGTTACACAATGTTTTATCTGGTTTCTCTAGAAGCAGACCCTAACAGGAGGATCTGTGTGAAAACAGTTTATTAGGAAGAGACTCTCAGGGAAAACTAGGAGAGGAGTGGGGTTTTAGGACCAGGAAGTGCAGGATGCCAAGCAGGATGTGGTATCAAGCAAGTTTATAGAGGGTATCTTTGCACAATCCCACAGGGATTTCTATAGACAGTGTGGGTCATATCTCTGAGTCCTCTTGATCAGGGACAAGGAAGCTGCAGTATAAAGCTTTTGTGGTCATTTGTTAATGGCTGCCCTTGGGGGACAAGAATTCCCAGGTACTTCTGACTCTCTGGGCATATACAAAGGAGGCACAGAAGCTGGCTGTGAAAGCACACTGTGAGCCTACGTGCACCAAAATGGTAAAGGGATCAGAGGGCTGACAGCCAAAAGGAACCTGAGGTAATTATTGCAGGAAGCAGCTAGCACCCACTGGGTCTAGAGTAACAAAGAGAGATTGGGGGTATCAGAACCTAGAAGCAGGAAAGACAAACCCTGGTGGAAATGGGACTCCAACTCTAAGGAGGGTATACTACACAGTGGATGCTGGACTGCAAGAGCTAGACGAGGGACCATGCAGGGCTGAGACTCAGACTTTGAGGAAAGGATGCTATCCATTTGGTACTTCTGCCTCTAAAGAAGCACAGTGAGGTGGGAGTGCCAGGAAAAGGGAGGCTAGAGCCAACTGTTGCTGCCAAGGTGAGGCACCATTGCTAGGGGGATGAAAGCAAATGGGAAAAAGCAAATTTCTTCTCCCTTCTCAATCCCTGCAGTCCAGTCTCCCTCTAGTGCCCCATACTGGCAGAGCAGCTGCTGTCAAAGCAGAAAAGGGTTTACAGACTTCCAGCCCCAGCATCACAAAGCAGAGGATAAGAAGAGGTGGATTTGGAGCTAAGAGACAATAGCTTAATAACTGACATAATGTCTTCATGGTTCATTTCTAAGTAGTTTGAGATTTCCATTTTGAGTTCTTCAGCCCAAAAGTTATCTTAGAAGAGTATCTTTTTTATTTCCAGATTTATAGATTTTTTCTTCTGGCTTTCTGTTAATTTCTAATTATATTACATTACGGTTGGCGAATGTGGCCTATTTGTTGAAATTTTCTTTGTGGTCTTAATATCTGATCATTCTTGGTAAAGGTTCCAAAAGTATCTGAAAAAATATGTATTATATTTGTTTACATGATCTGTTGCTTTCTGTAAGAAATATGCCAGAGTCTCTCACTGACACTGGGATTAATCACCAACAATTTCTTTTTGTATTTCTGTCAAATTTTACTTTCTGTTTTTCAAAGCTGTGTTGTTAAGTACATAGAGATTCATGACTTGCTTTGATTTCTCTTTTGTCCGATTAATCTTGCCACACTTACTTTTTCTTGTTATTATATGTCTGGTAGATCTTTTTCCATCCCCTTATTTTTAAAGCTTAGTTGATTGACTTATTTTAGGTATATCTTGTATGAATACACACAGTTAAATTTTTTAATCAAATCTGAAACTCTCTGCTTGTAAAAAGTAAATTTGATTCATACACATTTTTTGATTACTCATATGTTTAAACTTATGTCTGTCATTTT